AAATTGAGCATCCTGCAGCTTTCCCAACTCACCTCAAGTCTCTGGAAGTAGGGACTTACCAGGCACTGGTGGCTCACCCCTGTAATCCTAGCTATTCAGGAGGCTGAGATCTAAGGTTCACAGTTCAAAGCCAACCCGAGCGGAGAAGTCCGTGAGACTCTTTTATCTCCAATGAACCACCAGAAAACCAGAAGTGCTGCTGTGGCTCAAGTGGTAGAGCACTAGCCTTGAGATGAAGAGCAGAGGGACAGCGCCCAGGCCCAGAGTTCAAGTCCCATGACTGACACCCCCCCCCCCCCCGCAAAAAAAAACTGAGGTAAGACTCCTTCCTTGGCTGACTGGCATCTCCCCTGAGGCCCTAGGGCTGCAGGTGTGTAAATGTCACCTGTGTATGATGGAGGATAAAACTGAGTGGAAGCAAAGAGCAATTACAGAGCCGGCCGGTTGTAAGCGATGCCTGCTTTCCCGGGGGACCTCTCACCAGACAGACATGGGGAAAAGCCCAGGTTGGTCCAAGAGCTCATTGTCTCTGTAGCAGCCCAGCCCCGTCTTGTGAGGTGGGGATGCTGTGCCCCCCAGTTCCCTCCTCCCGCCCTGAGCCAGACACCCTACTGACTCCACAGACTCCATGGCATGCTTTCTTCTTTGGGCTCGCTTTCTTTTCACATCCCCCACAACCGGGGTAGTTCTGACAATGTCCCCATGGGTTTTTCAGCACTCCTATAGCTGCGTTAGGAGCCCCAGCCCTGGGCCCCAGTCCCTTCAAGTTCCAGTTGTGGCCTTCATTCCCAGTCCCTGTGCCTCCTCAGGAAGTATAGCAGGGGTGGGACAGTGTCTGCCTAGCACATGTGAGGCTGAGTTCAAACCCCTGTACCACCCGAACTTTAAGTAACAATAAATACATCTTCAGAATATCCAAGAGTAATCAATACATTTAGAAGGTTCAGGAAAAGAAAATCCAGGTGCACATTTTCCCTCTTTGTTAGGAAAGAACAGCTGCTGGGAACCTAAGTTGACTGTGAGTGAAGGGGTCCTTCTGATGTTGAAAAAGAGCCGTTCAGCCAGGCACCCGTGGCTCTCGCCTGTCATCCTAGCTACTCAGCAGGCTGAGATCTGAGGATCACGGTTCAAAGCCCAGCCCAGGCAGCAAAGTCCATGTGACTCTTCAATAAACCACTCAGAAAAAGCCAGTGGCAGAGTCTCGGGCACAAAGAGGCTCAGGGACAGCGCCCAGCTCTGAGCTCAAGCCCCAGGATCAGCAAAAAAAAATAAATAAAAGTTTCAGGTTTGGTTGGCACTTTATGTCATATCTTTAGAAATGCTAGTAGGTTGTAGACTTGGAAAGTGTTAATGCAAATTGTCACTTGTCTGTTTTGTTTTTAAAATAAAAGCACAGTATCAAATTCAATGTACATCCTACAAACTTAAGAAAAGTGAGGGAAGGGGGGGTGGGTTGGGAGGGGCGGGTGAGGATGTGGATCAAGATGCACTGTATTTATAAACTACAACTCCCATTTGTACAACTACTTAAAGAGCATAACGCTATTGGTTTTCCTGATTTGTGGTAGCTAGCACTAGCCTCTAAGTCTAGAAGTAAACACATTGGGCGGGATGCAAGTTGTTACAAAAGTATTAACTGAAACACGGTAGACTCTAGGGAGAGCATACATAGTATAATTTCTGAGAAAGACTAAGTCAAAGCCCAGCAAAGTAAACACCAGAATACCGGTCCTTGCAAGGGAGGAGACTGGGCTAAAGGGAGAGGGGTAGAAAAATGAAGAAGAGAAGATGGGAGGAATGCAGTCAAGAATTTATTGTCTGTACTACAAAATTAAGAAAAACAATGCAAGGGGTGGAGGAGGGAGGGTGCGAAAAGGGGAGACTGATCAAGATGCACTGTCTTGGTGAACTCCTTTGCAAAACCAGCAACTCCTTTGTACAACGACTTAAAGATATTTTTTAATTAAAGAAAATAGCACACCCTTTTTTAAATCCAAGGCTACCAGCATAAGCAGGACTGAAGAGGAGAAATCTTTCCAAAACTACGTCTTTGTTGTCAGATCAAATAAGAGCTTAGGGAAGGCAGCGCCAGACAGGCAGCGCAGAACGTTGACTTCTTTAAAAACAAGCTTTCTCCTTTTGAAATGGAATGGGCTTCCCTCCCTTTCTCCCCTCCCCATCCTCCACCCTACCCCAGTTTTGGCGTTGGGAAATGTTTTGTTCTCAACTAAAGCAGTTGTACCATATTAGGTAAGGTCTTCCATCCTTGCCGCTGGAGAGGAATGAGCAAGAACTGAGTTCACAAGTTTGATCCCCTCAAAAGACACGTTTGAAGGTGATGCTTTGATATCTTCTACCCTCCGCATGACTGGCCTGAGCTGAGCTGAGCTGAGCCAGCTCCCTGGCCTGGGGTCTAGCCTGCTGCTCCCGGGCTATCTGGTCCAGATCCTTCTTTGAGTCTACTTCACCCCCTGGTGGCCAGATCTAGTATTTCCACCCACTGGACCATGATGGCCTAGAAAAAGGACATTTCAGCTGTAGTATTCCATCAGGAATTATGACACAAAACAGACCCTTTTCAAAGACGGATTTTCCCATCCCATCCCACCTCCCCCAAAAATAAAAATCCTGTAAATGGCATATACAGGATTCCAAATGAGGAAGAAGCTCTAGGTTGCTGATCTCTTAAAACATCCTGGTTGCAAACTACAAAAACTTTTTATTTTTGGTAGGGGGGAAGTAGGAGGGGGAGGGGGAATTCCCACGGTCAAAGACACATCAGTAGAAGTAGAATGAATTTAGACTTCTAGCAGGGTGAAGTGATTTATGCTTTGTGTCAAAAGTTACTAATTGAGTGCCTTGGGTCCCTCCCCAGAATTGTTTCTGCCAGGATGGCTTAAAAGAAATAAAACATTTTTTTGTCTCAGAATTCTTCCTCCCTAGAGTGCTTCACTTGCTTTTGGTCTTCGAAGCCAACCTAAATCCATTCCCTCTCATTTCTACCATGGAGCTTTTATAATTTTGTGATTTTTTTTAAGCAGTCCTCCATATGTTTCAGATTTATAATCACATAAAACTTTTATTTTTTATTATTTTTTTATTCCATAATTAGGAGAACAAGGGCCAATTTCTCATAACTACCCTCCAATTTCTCTTAATTTCAGTGTGTTCAAATTATTTGCATTCTCAAGGGTTTTTTTTTTAATTTTATACATGCCTCTTGCCTTTATTTTTTATTTATTTTTGCAGTACTGGGGACAGAAGGTAGGGCCTCACACTTGGTAAGCAAGCATTCTACTACTGAGCAACTTCCCTGTCCCCATCCTCCTAATATGAATGTTCAAATGTCTGCTGCTCTGGTGTTCAAACAATGGACTATGCATTGGGTATGATATATGTATATGTATAGAACTGTGACTATGTCCATAAATACGGACAGTCAGTAAAACCATGCTGTCATTCTATGTAGCACACCCTTAATTACAACCTGTTTACGTATTTACTCAGTATTTATTTATTTGAGAATCAAAGATTTCCTAGGACACCATTATGGAAAAAATGGTGAGCAGTTAGACAGAGTGGAGCAGCACCATTAGTGGTACAACTTGATCGATTTTTCTCTTTAATTCACACATCGATGTTTGCATTTTAAACTTAATAGGTGGATTGTATAGCTATTCCAAACTATGATGAAGTAAAAATGATCAAGTGGCTTGGAAAATAGCTATACACTCATTTGATGTTGAAAACCAGATCTGATATGTGTGTGCATGTGTGTATGCGTGCGGGTGATGGTATGCACATGTGTGTATGTGTGGCAGTGTCTGTGTAGACATTGCAGTGGATGAGGGCTATGGCCTGTGTGTGTGTGTATGTGTGTGTGTGTACACGCTGATGACTCACACTTGTCATTCTAGCTACTCAAGAGGCTGGGATCTGAGGATCATGGTTTGAAGCCAGCCTAGGCAGGAAACTCCATGAGACTCTTATCTCCAAGTAACCACAAAAAGGCCAGAAGTGGAGCTGTGGTTCAAGTGGCAGAGCACTAGCCTTGAGCAAAAAAGCTCAGGGACTGCACCCAGGCCCTGAGTTCAAACCCCAGGACTGACACAAAGAAAAGTTTTCCTAATTCCCACGTGCCTGTAGCAGACCCACGCCAGGTTTTGTCCTTCCTGTCTGAGCTCTGGAGCCTCATCCATCCACCACCTGATGGGAAAGGAATTTGCTTTGGACCACAGAGAAGAGTCATTCCCTCAGTCCTTCCGTTCCTACTCACCCAACACCCTCTCAAGGCCAGCCCAGCAAAGGAGAAGGAAACAGCACCCAGGAATTTTTTTGTTGCTACAGTGAACAAAACACTGGGAAAATAAAAGTCTTCGGAGAGTCTAGAAGAAAATTAGCATGTTCCTGAACATCACGAGAAACCAGCTCATGATGTTTTCCAACCACGTAGGGACAGTGCGAGCTGACGGACACACGCTTTCTCTCGGGCCTCCACCATGTTTGCTAGTTCCCGTGAGCCTCCGCACTGCTTACATCCGAGGCCTCAGACAGGCAGATGTCCCTGTGCTTGAAACACATGTAAATCAAGTCCACTTATCAAGTAGCATGAGGGTATCCCTATGTTGAATAACTGTTGTCTGAACATGCAAATAAGAGCACGTTAAAGGTTCTATCTTGGTGAATATCAGCATTTCATGCAACATGTTTAGGAATGTGGGGAAAGGTACCATTTTTCAGGGCACCAGCTAGCACTACTGTCTTGAACAACTTAATCTCTACTTGGCCTAGATGCTTTGCCCTTCAAAGAAGTAAATGATCTTGATGACTGAGATCTAGCCATCAGCGGTAGGGGGGAGAGGGGGAATTCCCCAGTGTCTTTCAAAGTCTGTGATGAAAAGAAAATATCCAACAAAAGACATCCATTTCCCTAACTCCGTCTTCTTTCTTTCTCTCTCTCTCTGTCTCTCTCTCTCTCTGTCTCTCTCTTGTTTCTGCAGACTATGTCACAGAGTCACAATGACCTTGCACAGTAACAGTTCGGCCTCACCTTTGTTCCCCAACTCTTCGTGGATCCCCAGCCCCTCAGATGCAGGCCTGTCCCCCGGGACAGTCCCTCACCTCGGCAGCTACAACATCTCTCAAGCGTCAGAGAACCTCTCCTCTCCCAACGGTACGGCGGCCGACCCTCTGGGAGGCCACACCGTCTGGCAGGTGGTCTTCATCGCGTTACTCACTGGTTTCCTGGCCCTGGTGACCATCATCGGCAACATCCTGGTCATCGTGGCGTTTAAGGTCAACAAGCAGCTGAAGACGGTCAACAACTACTTCCTGCTCAGCCTGGCCTGCGCTGACCTGATCATCGGGGTCATTTCTATGAACCTGTTCACCACGTACATCATCATGAACCGCTGGGCGCTGGGGAACTTGGCCTGTGACCTCTGGCTGTCCATTGACTACGTGGCCAGCAATGCCTCTGTCATGAATCTCCTGGTCATCAGCTTCGACAGGTACTTCTCCATCACCAGACCCCTCACCTACCGGGCCAAACGAACAACCAAACGCGCCGGCGTGATGATTGGCCTGGCTTGGGTCATCTCCTTTGTGCTGTGGGCTCCGGCCATTTTGTTCTGGCAGTACTTTGTGGGGAAGAGAACAGTGCCTCCGGGCGAGTGCTTCATCCAGTTCCTCAGCGAGCCCACCATCACCTTCGGGACGGCCATTGCGGCCTTTTACATGCCAGTCACCATCATGACCATCTTATACTGGAGGATCTATAAGGAGACTGAGAAACGCACCAAAGAGCTGGCCGGGCTGCAGGCCACGGGGACCGAGGCCGAGGCCGAGAGCTTCGTCCACCCCACGGGCAGTTCTCGGAGCTGCAGCAGCTATGATCTCCAGCAGCAGAGCCTGAAGTGCTCGGGCAGGAGCAAGTATGGCCGCTGCCACTTCTGGTTCACCAGCAAGAGCTGGAAGGCCAGCTCGGAGCAGATGGAGCAGGACCACAGCAGCAGCGACAGCTGGAACAACAATGACGCGGCCGGCTCGCTGGAGAACTCGGCCTCCTCCGACGAGGAGGACATCGGCTCCGGCTCCGAGACCAGGGCCATCTACTCCATTGTGCTCAAGCTACCTGGCCACAGCACCATCCTCAACTCCACCAAGCTCCCCTCCTCCGACAACCTACAGGGCCCCCACCAGGAGCTGGGGCCCGCGGACGTGGAGAAGAACGCGACCAAGCTCCAGGCCCAGGAGAGCATGGATGATGGCGACAGCTTTCCCAAAGGCTTCTCCAAGCTGCCCATCCATCTAGAGTCGGCCGTGGACGCAGGCAAGACTTCCAATCCCAACCCCTCGGTGGGCAAAACCACGGCCACGCTACCTCTGTCCTTCAAGGAAGCCACGCTGGCCAAGAGATTTGCTCTGAAGACCCGAAGTCAGATCACCAAGAGAAAGAGGATGTCGCTCATCAAGGAGAAGAAAGCAGCCCAGACCCTGAGCGCCATCCTGCTGGCCTTCATCATCACCTGGACGCCCTACAACATCATGGTCCTGGTGAACACCTTCTGCGACAGCTGCATTCCGAAAACCTATTGGAATCTGGGTTACTGGCTATGCTACATCAACAGCACAGTGAACCCCGTGTGCTACGCCCTGTGCAACAAGACATTCCGCACCACCTTCAAGATGCTCTTGCTCTGCCAATGCGACAAAAGGAAAAGGCGCAAGCAGCAGTATCAGCAGAGACAGTCCGTCCTCTTCCACAAGCGAGGGCCCGAGCAGGCCTTGTAGAGACACAACACGTCCATGCCAAGTGACAAAACAAAATCAAAAGAAACCTCACGGGGTCGACCCACAATCCTGAGCGAGGAATGAGGCTCGGGGTGGGGGAGAGAGCGACTTTGGTGATCCTCAGAATGTGGTGGTGGCATTTTGTTTATTTGTTGTTGTTCTTTTTATCACCAAGATAGAAAAAGAAGTTGCCTGTTTACTGATGCATTGAATAAGTCAGTTTTCATATTTAAAAGAAAAAAGTCAAATATCAATTCAGAGAGAGAGAGAGAGTGAGCATACTACTGAATATAAAGGAATTTGTTCTGAAATGGACTTTGTTTCTTTCTTGAAGGGAAAAGCAATACCGCTCTCCCACCCCTGATTTTCCACTCGGGTCGATTCCACTGGGTCCTCTCGGTCCCGTGAGCTCTGACGTCACAGAGGAGTCTCGCTCTGCCAGCCGCCGCAGGCATTCCGAGGGGCTCGAGTGTTGATCCTGACCCTGCGTCCGGCAGAGCCAGCTGGTGGCTCTGTGGTCCTAAAATGATCTCCTCCACGGCACAGCCGAACCTTCTTGTCCCAACAGAGCTTCTGTCCTCCCTCTGGCCGTGCGTGTTGTTAAAACTCTTTATTTGTGGACTTGGTTCTTGCAGAGTACTGTTGTTCTTTTGTTTTGTTTTGTTTTGTGCAGTTCAAGTTTTGTACCAATAAAATTGCCTATGTATACATATCTGTGTGTGAGTACTGCACGTGCACACACGATGTATATATAATGTAACGGGAAATAATTCGACGGGCTGATCATTCCTGCAATATCTGTTTTCAGTACTCTGGTAACTGAAATTCTCGAGGATCCTAATACCATATAAAAGTGAAATCAACCCAGTTGAATGATGTTCGTTACTGTGGCTCCTTGACACCAAGCACCCCAAGGACCGTACAGTGGGAGGCCACCACAGGTCCTCCACAGGTCTGTGCAGAATGGATGGGCACCTCCTGGGCTAGCGCAGACTCCGTGTAAGCAATCTCCTGTGTTGGTCATTCCTTCCTAAGAGCTGAGCCAGGGCCCCTGAGCTCACAGAATTAACTGTTCGATTCCATGTGCTGCAATCCAGTCCTTCCTGTGAGAACGGCCCTGGGTAACGACCCAGCACGATTTCTGCTATCTGAACTGCTAGAAATTAATAATCACCTCTGAATGTGGTATACAGCAATCTATAGGGTAAAGCAAGATCACTTATTTAAAAAAAATTGTGAGAGAAGTGAAGGAGAGTATTATATTTGATTTCTTGCTACCTAGCACCTTCTAGAAAGAAAGCAGGCCTTACCTCCTCCTGTCCCCAGGGGCAGGGGGCCTTCACTGTGTAATCTTCACCCCGAAATGGGGTGGGTGGGGGGTTTAGGAAGGCTTGTGTCTTCTGGGGGGGGGGGCGGAAACATTTTTGCACTTGGAAACGTATGGCTATAGATTGATTTCCTTCTGTTTCGCAAACCGATTTTTTTGCATTGTCCTTTGACTTGACCCAAGGGGTAAAGGTCTTCTCTGGGGTCGGGGGGCGCTGCTTCTCTCGCTGTGGTTGTTGCTGCTGTACTGTTGGGATTCCCTCTTCTCCTTTTGCTGGGGCTGTGTGGGATGGGGGCGGGGCGGGGTGGGGGGCGGGAGGGCTGGGGAGAACTCTTCCCTTTGTCCCTTTTGTGCTGGGGCATCTGTGTTGTGAACCCAGAGCTGGGGCGGAAGCTGCTTTTGTACACAGTGTGAGGTGGTGTTTACAGACAACTTATACAGCCGTGGACGTCTTCGCCGTGCTGTGTGTATGTATCTGAACTATTTAATGTGTCATGTTTATATGAAGACTATTTATGCATATTTCACCAAGTGTTTATTTAATGTTGATAAACCTGACTACTTCAGCCCTGGTGTCCTTCAACGTGATTCTTTAATTACGAATCGCATCCCTTGAGCTTCCCGTATGGCCAAGAAGAAGAGAAACGTGTCACCTTGTTGCTCTCCACCACTAGCTAACCCTTTTGGGGTAAGAAAAGGTCACATGTCACTTGACACCAATGGTTCAAATCACCCTGTAGGTCACCTGATCAGAGCTCACAAAGCAACCCTCCCCCTCCTCCTCCTATATTTCAGATCACATTGAAAGGAGAGGGAAAAAATGCAAATCAGCATAATTGTAAGAATGATTTTTTTCCTTATAATTTTATGATTTTTTGTTATCTTTAAGAAGTTGTACAAAGGGGTTTGGGAATGATTTTTTTTTTAAATTTTTGACCCACATTCAACCAAAGATTAAGAAAAAAAACAGAGACTCTTTTTCTAATGTGTAAAATAAATGATAGAATGTTATGTCATCCACTGTGAAGCATCTAGTAAGCAACTGCATCTATATTTTATTACTCAACGTGGCCTGGCACTAATAAATATGTGAATGTTTATCCAAGTCTTCCAGTATATCAGTAATTCCCATCTCTGAGCCCTTCCACCCTTCCTCTCTCTCCAAAGGGCTAGTCCTGCATTTTAAAAAGAATGATGATGAATAATAATAATAATAATTGTCTGTGAGGAACCAACAATTTTAACACAAACTCCGAGTTTGGGCAAAACATCAAGGGTTAATTAGGCTCCTACTTAGGCATAATTATCTCCTAATTCTTGGCCTTTCTATGATACTCATGAGAGAAATAAACCCAAGACCAGGCTCTCCCATTGCTGTTTTCCTTAGGTTATTGCTGTTAGGACCCACAGATGAGAGCTGGTTCTAATCACCATCACCTCATGCACTGTTGAAACACAGGCAGGCCCAACTCTTGGGTTGTTTTCAGAGAAGCAAAGCCAGCAACAAGGACTCTTAGAAATAGGAAAGGTTTAGAAGTTTAACTAAAGATGTCTTGAGTGTTTGGTTTTCTTCTTTGTGCCAGTCTTGGGACTTGAACTCGGGACCTTGGCACTGTCCCTTAGCTTTTGCTGTTCATGGCTAGTGCTCTACCACTTGAGTCACACCTTCACTTCTGGCTTTTTGATAGTTAATTGGAGATAAGAGTCTCAGATTTTTCTGCCAGTCAGGCTGGCTTTGCACTGTGATCCTCAGATCTCAGCTTCCTGAGTAGTTAGGATGACAGGCGTGAGCCACCAGCACCCGGCACAACAATGAGTGATGCGAAGTGGACATTAGTGAGACAGGTCTCAGAAATGTTAGAAAATGTGCTCAGCATTTAGAGAAGATCCACGAGAGAGAGAGAGAGATCCTCAGTCTTAAGAGTCAAAGATCCCACATAAATGAGATCTGCAGAGATGTCAGGACTGTCCTCTTTAACTGAAACCGGAAACGAATCAAGCCTAAACTAAACCACACACAGACACACATAGAGAACATCTCTCTCCACCCACCATCTTCCAGGTCCTTCCAGGAGACAGGACATGCACTCTCTGGCCCCCGGCTTGCCCCACTCTCTGGCCCATCTTTTATCCCATGCCTCTCTGTTCTTACACCCTCTGCTTCTCTAACCAGCCTGGACTTGGCTACCTGGTTCCCATTTCTACTCTCTCCTTGATACACTAGGTCTAGATTCAGAAAGAAAACAGGCAAGGATGCCCAGGTCCAGAAAACAGGCAAGGATGCCCAGAAAGCAGGCAAGGATGCCCAGGTCCAGAAAACAGGCAAGGATGCCCAGGTCCAGAGCACCAGCATCCTGTCTCCACCACACTTCCAATTCTGGAGTCAGGCACGTGAGCCTCTCAGTGCAGCCGGTGAGCAGGACTGGAGGCCTGGCTGTGCTGAGGGACAGCGCAACCCTGAACCACCTCTAGGAGGGAAGGGGTGGTTGCCAAGGCTTTGGGGAGACCAAGGAGAACCCCAGAATCAGTCAGGGTGGGGTGACTGGGATTATCTGATGGAGGTGATTCAAAGCCCGGGACATTTCATTGAGAAATCAGACAGGCTGGCACTGGCCTCTCCATGAGCAAAGGAGGAGGGCACTGGGTCATCAGAGGAGCACCGGGTGGGGGTGGAAAGTTCCATCCATACCTAGCAACATGGTCCTCAGATGCCACTGGCACCACCCAGACTCCCTGGGTGAAATTAAGCCACAGCCCAGCGCATCTCTAATTCCCATCCCCAGGGTGCATGGGTCGGTGCGGTGTGAGCCCCAGGACAGTGACCCCTCTCTCTTTTTTGTAAAATTGTATTGTCAAGGTGAGGTACAGAGGGGTAACAGTGACGTAAGTAAGGTCGTGAGTACATTTCTTGTCTAACTTGTTACCCCCTCCCCCATTTTTCTCCCTCCCTCCCCCCTCAACCCTCCCCCCCCAAGTTGTCCAGATCATTTCCAACATACTGTCTGGTGAGCATTGCTGCTGCATTGGTTTCCCCCTTTGTCCTTGATCTCACCATTTTGTGGTTCCCCTCCCCTTCCCTAGTTCAGAGACACATATACCCAATACCCAGGGTACCAAAATAGAATACGGTGACCACAAGGCATAAACCATAGCAGGGAAAGCACAAAAGAAAAAAAGAAATCACCTAGTCCCTTGAGAACAACAACAGCAATTATCTGCCTCCCATTTCCGAGTTTGGCTGTTCTCCACCAGCAATGGAGTTCCTAAAGATGACACGTGTGTCGTTTCTGACATGGACGGCCCATTGGAAAGTAGGCGCCCATCACCAGTCCTCTCAGATTCCGCTCCCCAGGGCTGGTGGACTGGTGGCGCTGGTCCAGTTCCGTGACTCTGAGCCAGGCGCCATGTCTGGCTGGCACACGTGCCCTGTTGGAGGTTTGCAGAAGGTCAATGCCCCAGGGACCCAGGCGGCTGTGATCACTTCCAGGAGCCAGGCAGGGATCTTCCCAAGTTGCTGCCTCGGTTGCTGGGAAAGAGAGAATGGTGAGAGATGAGGCGTTGAGTACCGAGGGAGGGAATGAACGGGACACACAGAGCAGAGAGCTGCCGGCCATGGGCATTCATTGGTAGAAGAAGACAGGGCCCTGGGATGGGTGGGGTACAGGGGGCTCTGGTTGGCCTTTCTCTCTCCCTCTTCACCCCCACCCCACCACACCCCTACTGGCTTCACAGACAGCATCCTTTGAGCATTTGGTTGAATGAGAAAATGAACAGCTAACAAACAGCTCAAGCATAATACCAGCTCCATATCCTAACTCCTCCTACCCTCTGCTGTCCCTGCTCCCTTCTTCTACCCCATGTGTTCTGCAAGCCAGAACTAAGGGCACCATGCCAAGAACAGCTACCTCCACGGACATGTGCATCACAACCGGACTCAAGACCATCCTGAGACTTTAAAAAGTCAATGTGTGTTCTATTAAAATAGCAAATGACTCCTGGAATGAGCTAGCAGGTGGCAAGCAGGGGTGACTCCAATAAAAAGAAAGATCAAGAAGAGGAAAATAAATAGGGTGTCAGAGGTAAGGTGTTCACATAGTGCTGTGGCTCACGCCTATAATCCCAGCTACTCAGACCTGGAGGATAGAAGCCAGTAGATAGAAGCCAACCTGGGAAGAAAAGTCTTTGAGACTCCTCCATCTGTAATTAATGAGCAATAAAGCTGAACTGGAGGCATGATTCAAGTGTTAGAGCACCAGCCTTGAGCAAGTAAACCACACAAGAGCCAGAGGGCATGAATCAAGCAAGGGGACAGCACCCAGGCCCTGAGTTCAAGCCCCATGACTGACCAAAAAAAAAACACAGGCTTAAGGAAGCCCAGCCACCCCTGGCTCACACCTGTAATTGTAGCGACTCAGGATTCTAAAATAATATTGAGA